TGAGCACAAGTTGTGTGAAATATCACGTCTTTATTCCTGCTCAATGTTTCAGAAGCTCGTGTGCTGAGATATTAGGCGGGTGAATAAGGCAATGAAAGACACAACTTGTAGAATTCTTTTCACAAAATATTATTCTAATCCTAACTGTACTAACTATGTCAAGAAGTACAGATTTTAAAAGTTGGGTTTTTTTTTAAAGGTTACAGAGAGAAGATTACTGATATTAAGTATTGTATCTTCTTAATATAGTTAAGTGTGTTTTAGTTGCATTTATATTTTAATTTGAAACCCAATCTGATTCTGTGGACTGAAAAGGTAGATTCCTCTTTTTTTCTGGACTACTCCTAGCATAAGAATGTGGAAAGTGATGTTTCGGTAAATTTCTAAAGCTGACTGGTTAGATAATGTTGCATCCTCCCAGAGATCTAAATATTAATATGTGGTTATTAATAATATATGGACATGATCTTAGAGTGAAATATTGTTCTGTTTAAAATAGGTTGACTGAACTTGGATTTGAAGTGAGATGTTTTGATGACCTTAGGAAAAAAGAAATAAAGGAAAAAATTTCTAATGGTAGGTAAAGTAAGTTTATTTGCTGTAGATGCTTGGCTAGCAGTTATATTTTATTGTTAAAAAATTTAATATTAATGTTCCTAGTGAAGAAAATAATCCTGGTTAAGATTTAATTTATTGAACTGTGGGAGAGCCATCCAGAGAGAAAGATCTGCTTACTTGCTATGTTTTTTTTTTCCCCTCCCAGGTCTGGTCTGTTAAAACTATTCACATTCCTTCAATCATGTTTGTTATTAACTATTGAATTACCGTATTTTTCAGTGAATAAGATCCATCTTTTTCCTTCAAAAGAGTGTGAAAATCTGGGTGCGTCTTATACACAGAATGCAGCATTTTTGGCTTCCGAAACCCCCTTTGCAAAAACGGCCGTGCATAGCCTTTAGGCTTCCAGAGTGCTCCTGCGGGCTGGGGAGAGCAAAAATAGTGAAAAACTGCAATTTTTTGCTTGTCCCCCCCCCCCTCTGGCCACCAGGAGCACTCTATAAGCCTCCTGAAGGCTATGCAGGCCCTTTTTGAAAAAAGGGCCCATTTTCGGGAGGTTTGCAGTGTGCAAAATCTCTTTTAAAAAAATTTGCCTCTTCAAAATCTTGGTGCGTCTATCGGGTATATCTTATACTCCAAAAAATATGGTATATGTTTATGTTGATAAGGCAGGGTTGACATTTTAAGTTTTTATAAAAAAATGTTGTTTTTAGATTGTGATTTTTTCATTTTGAAAACTTAAAACTTAACAATTTTATAGCTAATTTAGTTTAGGGGTAGATATGCAAAATTCACCAGTTGAGAAACAGAATGTTCTGGAAAATTCGAGAGCATTCTGTTCGTCTTCCAAATCACCTTGAATCTTCTCCAGATTATGCTATTCCAATAATTCAGTGGTTTATGGAAGTAAATTATGTTAAACTGGAAATAATTTGAACTGTTTTGGTCACATTATAATCAAAATGACTGTTGACTTACCTGAACGGTCCTTCTATGGGTGCTGCGAGGAGAATCCAATCATGGGTTAACTTTGTCCATTAGCCTAGA